CTTTGCTTTGCTGGCTGAGGAATTCTGGGAGTTGAAGTCCACCAGTCTTAAAGTTGCCAAGGTTGGAGACCCTGTTCTAGGTGGCTTCTCTCCTTGATTAGTTTCCATCCATTGCTTCTTGTCATGACTTCAGGTGCTTTTCTGACAATGAAAGCACAGAAAAAATGAAGTATCTACTAGAAAGCATATAAAATAAAAATAAAATAAAAAAAAATTAAAATATCCATAGAGAAATGAAAAAAAAAGATTTACCCTGAGACATACATAAAGACTCCATTAACCGATTTCCAAGTATTTAGTAGCTAAAATGGCATCATTCATACTGAAGCAGAAGGGATGTTTAGAAAAAAATATTTGCAGGAATATAAAAAAAAAATGAGGAAAAAGGTGCACAAATCTGTGACAGTCAACAAACACCTACCCAAACAATGTAATAAAACTGAGCATATTAATGAGACATGGAATAAAGTAGTGACTGACTATGGGAAGTTAAAATCTGACTTATGGTGCTATTGATTTTATGCAGTAAGATAATCTGATTTCTTCCCCTAAATGAGAGGAAATAATGTCATTGGGAAAACAATTCATGATACTGTTGAACCAGAGACACCGAATCTTTATTATTATTAAATTCTAGAGCTGGATGTTTGCAGTAGAAAAACCTTAAATCTTGCTCAGGGCTTGCTGAGATGGCATTCTAAAGATAATTGCAGGCTTGTTTTGAACAGACCAAGGAAAGAAACAAATTGCTGCAGGTCAATTAAACCTTTGTCAGCAACATATTGTCCTGCCCTGATTAATTTGGAACAACCACAGATAAATTTATTTGGTAGTCCGGCTGCGGTAATCCCCAGAGCTGGCAGACTTTCAGTTTCCAGATGCTTTTTTCTCCTCCACATGTGATCTGCTCAGAGATTAGCTCCTGCAAGGCAAATAATCTTCATGAGTTTGCAATATTGTGTAAGGTGATTGCAAATAGGGTATTGGCGGTCATTCAGTACTAATGGCTGAAGCCCAGATCAAATGAAGCATTTTTGCAACCTCATTCTTTGATTAGAGAATATTTATTTACACTTGTTTTTCATCTTCTGTCTGCTGATTTTGTAGGCATAAAAATACCTTGCCCGAGTTCCTGTTCGTTACAGTACCTTTGGAAAAATCGAATGAGATGCACAAAATCACCGATGTTCTATTAATTGCTGTTCATTAGTCAGGAAATATATCTAGCAGGAACAAAATCAAAAACTCAAATCGGGTATTATTTTTGCATGTTCATTAATGTTTTGTTTGTTTTGAACTAGTCGAAGCCTGTCTGAACATTTAACTAGGAAAACGAGCCATGGGCACCTGCAATATTTAGCTTCAGAAAATATAAGCTGTCAATCTAGAGATCAGCAGAAGCCACACCACATCATTATGCAAAATGAACCAACTTTTTCCAGAGGCAGCCGATGATGGTACAGAGGTACATTTCCGTACACTGATGATGATATAGAGGTATATTTCCCTAGACTGGAAGACAATGGTACATATTCTAGGCAGCCTCTTCTGCACTCCTTACTGCTAACCCTCTTCAGATGCAGCAGAGAATGCTGCTTCCTTGCCAGCGTCAAAATATTAAGGAGTTCTACTGTTTCTGTAAATGACACTGGGTTTTTAATAGTGGTGGAAATGTGCCATAGTTACTTTTGGTTTTGGAAGCAGTGGTGATCTTTCCCGCCTTTGGTGTCTGAATTAGGCATGGTTGGCTGGGGAATTCTGGGTATTGAAATCCATACATCTTAAAATTGCCAATATTGAGAAATATTGCAGTAGACAGTGGTCAAGAATAAAGGAAGGTATAATCCAGCCACTTCTGGAAGACCACCCTGCTGTAAAGATACGACCTCTAATTTGT